CCCCCCCCTCCTGTCGCTGTCCTTCCCTTCTCCTTCGCTCCTGGGCCCAGAAGGGGACAACCTACTTATTCCATTTGCCCTCTAATTTGTATGACAAATACTAATATGCATGCAGGTTGACCTACAGTAGCGAAAAACCTTTAGTAAGTATATTATAACATATTTTCCTATTTTAAAGAAAAATTTTTTTAAATAACACCGACTTTAATATTTAGAAAATGTGAATAAGCCGAAAAAGAGGAGAATCATTTGTAATCCCATCGCCGTAGCTAACCACTATCAATATTTTGGTGTGTACCCTTCTTTATGGATGTGTATGTATATGTATATGTGTCACATATTTACACCAATAGAACTGGTCACTTCACTTTGTAATACAAACATCTTTTTAAGTCATTAAATATTTTTCAGTGACATTATGACTTGATTGTGTGGCAAGATGTGTCATTATCTATTCCTTATGTTTAGATATTTAGATTTCTAGTTTTTTGTTAACTTTTTTTTTTCTTTTCTAGCCTAGTTTCAAGTGACAGTGGTTTCTCAAAATGTGGCCCATAACTGAGTGCCCCCTTGTTAACCCACGAGCTAACTCAAAAACGGCAGGCAAATGACTACACCCACATTTCTTTTATGCCTGAGAATTTTACTTTCTTAGTTCGTCCAGTTCTTTTTTATTATTCTATTAACATTGTTTATTATTAGTATTATCATATTCTATTATGTTTATTATATATGCTATTATGTGTACATAGTATTTTCAGCATATTAATATGTAATCGGTATATATCTAATATATTATTATATGTAATCTATTACATATGTTTTTTATTTTACATCTGTTACATATTATCACAGATTCTCTAACATATTACACACTTTATGTTATATATTCTATCATTATAGAATGAGTCAAAGCACAGAGGAACACAATTTTAAAAATCAACTCTAATCCCATAATCCCATGATTAACATATGGATGCATACTTTTATATTTTTAAATTAAAAAAATGAGATCATACTGTACACAATTTTATAACCAATTTTTTCACTTTCATGTATTTCATGAGCATTTTTCAATGCCAGGTACACTTCTACAAAATTATTTTTAATGACTGCAGAATATTGCATTTTATGGCTATACCATAATTTGCTTGGCCATTTTCCTGTTGTTAGATGTTTAGTTTAATTCTAGTTTCTTCCCTATCACAAATAATCTGTAATTGGGCTTCCTCATAGATAACTCACAAGTCCCCTTTGTCCACTCCCTCAGTTGTTTCTTTGAGATCCATGCCCAGAAGACTGGCTTGGATTTGAAAGCACAGAGTCCATTTAGCAGTGTATACATACCTCCACTCGCTCAAAAAGGAGACCTGGTCATGAAGGGAAATCTTTACTTCCTGGAAATAACATTCACTTTTCTGTGCACATAAGTAGATGTAGTAATTCTTTAAATAACTGCTGTGAGCCTAGGGAACTTGAAGCTCAGAGTTCTTCTAACTGGCATCTAATATCTAGAATAACCCTATTTCTACATATGTTTTTCCAAGCTAGTCACTCAGATTGTAAAATTAAATGTGAAATAATCTTCTTTTTAGGATCCCCAGAAGTTTCCTGATATCCCAGAAAAGTTCATGAGTGCTCTAGACAATTTCCCCATAGGAACACCCCAAGGAATTCAGATGTTCCAGGTTGGTGGGTAGGGCTTTTGTTTTTAATCTGTTTATGCATTCATATGTATGAATTAGGCATGTATTTTCCTCTTTTTAATAGCTATATTTTGTATTACATGTAAAGATTAAGTCTACTAAAACCAGCTGATGTTAACCGTTGTCACCCACATACAACTTGCTTGGTTTAGCTTTTATGTTTTTACTCAAGACTAACACAAGGAGTTTGATTTTGAATCTCCCTTCTTCACTATTTTCAGTTTTGTTGCTTAAAATTTCCTCCTTTTCTTGGCCAATGTTATTCCTTTCTTTAAAACCTGACTCAACATTTACTGCTTCTAGAAAATCTTCCCTACTTTATTACAGCCACCCTGAATCTCCCAGGAAGCTGTATTTTCCTTGGACCATATTAGTTGTATAGTTGCGTAAATTATTCTTAATTACTCTATGAAATTGATCGTGTTATTTTAATGTATGTGTTCTGATTCCTCAACAAGGTTGTAGAATCCTTGAGGGCAGGAACAATGTCTTTGGGGGGGGTAGAGCCTGTAACCAAGACTATATTTCTTACTATAATACTCAATGGATATTTATTAACTCTGACTCATAGATGTAGATACCCAGTTGCCTGTAGTTTTTCTTGATTTGTGAGATATAACAGACCCAGTTTTCAGTACATGAGAATGTCTGGCAGTAAAATAACATGCTTTTTTCATTAACAGTGTGTGGATCCCTACCAACCTCCTCAAGATCCAGTTGGTCACCCACTCATGCACCAGTCAGCCATTAAACATGCCACCGGGGAAGCTGTGTATGTTGATGACATACCTCCTATCAACGAAGAACTCTTTCTGGCTGTAGTTACCAGCACCAGAGCTCATGCAAAGATCATGTAAGGAAATAAAAGACATCCCTATAAGTTACTGAAGTGCATTAACAATTTTATATTCAAACTGAGAGCTTATTGTATGTTTAAGTCAATTAAGAGTACTTATTTCCTCTTCTGGGTGGGAATCAGTCATTTTTAAAGCATGGTTTGAAAAAAATCTATGGCCAAGAGTCAGAACACCAATGTAGAATATTGCCCCATGATTTAGTTATGAGGTCCATTGCAGTTTTTTCCCCTGTGCTTGAGGAATTGTTTATATTGTACCCTGGACTTACCCTTGCAACTTTAATGTGTACTTTTAAATTTTCTCTCGTAGATTGATTGATGTTTCAGAAGCCCTGGCATTTCCAGGTGTTGTAGATGTGATAACAGCAGACGATGTTCCGGGAGATAATAACTGTCTTGGAGAGATTTTCTATGCGCAGAATGAGGTGTGTGATTTGTATGTGGCTAATTACTCAAATACTTGGCTGAAAATGCTACGTCATAAAGACTTTCAGAGAACCACTGACTCCACCTCAGTGATGCTCAAATTTATTTTGAATTGTGAATCCTTTTGAGATTCTAATAAAAGCCATGAGCCCTCTCAAAGAAAGCGTCCAAAAAAGTCTTAACAGTCCTAGAAGCAATACAGAGCATAGGACATTAAAAGAACCAAAAGAACTTCAGGAATTTCAGGATGACTGGATCACCATGAGTGATTTGAGAATGGTGAGGAATGCAGCTGATGACAGTCATAGGCCAGATGTAATTAATTTCTGCATCTAATTTTTGTAGCCCCTAAATCCCACTCAAGCCACTATTTTAAATTTATTCTCATAGGTAGAAAATAACCTTTCTTTTGGTCACAAAAACCCAGTGGATAAATGTAAAAATTTGGGAACAATAAATCCTTTTTAGTGATTCTGTGTTTTAGCTAATTACATACAGCATGTGGCTTTCCTGCAGGTTATTTGTGTGGGTCAGATTGTCTGTACTGTGGCTGCTGATACCTACGCTCATGCGAGAGATGCTGCTAAGAAAGTGAAGATCGCTTATGAAGACATAGAACCCAGGATTATCACAATAGAGGTATTCGGGCCACTTTGTATCTTCAAGAATGACTAGGGTGGTGTACTCTTGACAGAATTCAACCCATGGAGTCACAAAATAGTATAAATTGAGCTTCACTTATACTTTATGTTCAGTGTCATCTATAGTTTTAGAAAGAAGGCGTCTGGATTCTGCACCTTGAGACATAATACTGAGAATTTTCCTGCCTGGATCCCCTTTCCTTCCTGTGTCTACTTTCTACTCGCATGACCTCTTGCCAAGGAATGGCCTGAGAATATAGATAAGCAACACCAGAGAAAGGCCCTTACGGCTTCACATACAAAACTAGTCAATGAGAAAATCCAGAGCACTGCGAAACTCAGAACAAATCAATGCTTACTGAATGAGAGCATGGGTCCTCTCTATCTCCTTGCCCACTTCCTACTTAAGCACGAGTTCTGGGGATAGAATAACACTCAGATTCGGATTCTGGCTCTGCCATTTAATAGGCTATTAAATGAAAGCTTTGACAAGTTACTTAAATTCATCATATCTCAGCTTCCTCATCTGTAAAACAGGGACTATGAAAGTTCCTACAACAAAAGGTAATCTTGAGGTTTAAACGAGAGAATCCAAATAAAACGCTTAAAACAGCACCTGGAACATGGGATGCTTTGAATAAATGTCAGCTGTTGTTCTGTCTTATTCATGAGGCCAAGAACATATTCACGGTGCTTATATCCCTGGTGCCTAGCCAAGCACCAGGTGCTCAGTAATCGTGTGCTGGAAGGGTAGGTGCTTGCATAAGCAATGTGAAACCCAGCCAAGTAAGGTACGGTCTTCATCATCTTCCTTGATTCGCTCGTTTTTCCCCACAGTTTCCAAGTTCAAGCCTTTTCCAGTTATCTTTTAAATGCCTCTTAAATATGCCTCTTTTTTTCTATTCTCACTTTCACCCCTTTCCACCCTCCAGCCCTCACCATCTTATTGTCAGGTTTACTGCAATAATCATTTTAAAAGGCTCTTGGACTTTATCTCAAAATATCTACCTACCATATTAACTTTCTAAGCCACAAAGTTCATCAGACAACTTTTCCTTTAAAAAAAATTTTTTTTTAATGTCCCCTTAGATAAGGTTCTTAGTATGGAACTCAAGGTCTTTTATTGTCCAGCCTCTCTCCATCTTTCAAGCTCATCCAACTGTTTGTTTATTTATTTGTTTACTTACTTACTTTTAGAGAAAGAGAGAAAGGGAGAGAGAAAAAAAACAAACATTGATTTGTTGTTCTACTTATTTATGGATTCATTGGTTGATTCTTGTATGTGCCCTGAATGGGTATACGAACCAGCAACCTTGGTGTATTGGGACAATGCTCTAACCAACTGAGCTACCTGGCCAGGGCCCAACTGCTTCTTGATAGAAAACCTGTCCCCAGCCAGCTTGGCCTTGTTCTCATTTTGGCCCCTCAGCTAGTTTTTAACCTCAAACTATTGCTTTATGAGGTGCCCTTGACTTCAAGTGATTTCTAGTCTCTAACTGTCCTAATCCTATCCAATTCAGCACCTAATTTATAGGCCATCCTTAAGCATTTCCAGCCTCACCAAGCTCTTCCTTCTTGGCCTCTCTTTAATCTATTATCTATTATCTGCCCCCTCACTACAAAGTGGGCACCTAATACCAAGCTCCCTAAGGTCAGCAAACCAGAGGGTGGGATTGTGTTTTATATATCCTTGCTCCCTGCAGCTCTTCCTCCAATCCCTGAGCAAAACTAAGTCATCACCAATGCCTGTAATCCATTGTAACACAATTTCTGTGGCTCTCCAAATTGCTCAGATTGTCTTGGTGTGTGAAGATTTGATAGAGGAGAAGCATGGGATTTTGATGGGGTTTGAATGGCTTATTAGAATATTTTAAAAAATAATAAATAAAAACTTTTGTTTTGGTTTATTTTTTCCCTGCAGCAAGCCCTAGAGCACAATTCATTTCTTAGTGGTGAGAAAAAAATTGAGCAAGGAAATGTAGAGCAAGCCTTTAAGCATGTTGATCAAATCATTGAAGGTAAGTGGTCTTGGGCCAGAAAAGTGAAGCTTCTGAAGTTGAGGACTCCAAATGAATTAACTGGTTTGAGAAATACTGAAACTCTAAGGCAAAGCTTCTCAACCCTAGTGTGATTTTTAAAACACAATTTAAAATGCACAAATAATAAGTTTACAGCTTGATAAAATTTTACATATGTAGCAATCTATGTAAATACTGCCCACGTCAAGATATAGAACATTTCCAGGACCCTAGAAAGCTTCCTTATGCTCCCTGTAGGTCAGTAACCTTTCGAAAGCTCTCATTCTATAGATTAGCTTTACCTGTTTTAAACTTCATAAAAATGGAAACTAGAGTATAACTTCTTTTGTGCCTCCTTCTTATATTCAACATGATGTATGGAAGATTCATCCATGTTGTTGCATAGATCAGTAGTTATTTTTTTGTTCAGAAGTATTCCTTTGTATAAATATTCTATAATTTCTTTATCTATTCTACTGTTGATGGACATTTGAATTGGTTTCAACTTGGGACTATTGTAAATAAAGTTTCTAAAAACACTATTGTGATCCAAAAAGGGGTGTCATGATCAATGTAACCAAAAGTAACCTCACAGGGTGATCTGATCATAAATTCCTAACTTGGTGAGTAGTTACACACCAAGCATATAACTTCCTTAGTAAAAGTTTTATATTTGTTTTAAGCAAGCCCTGTCCTTTGTTTCTGTGCATCTAGATTAACATACCTTTGAAATGCCTCTCTTTTAGGCCCCTCTGAAGCCTAACCCCCCTCAAGAAAGCACATAATCTTGTTAACTAGCCTATAATAAATCCCTTCCTTGTTTTCTCCCACCTTTATGTAATTTTCCTTACATCCCTTCCTTAATTCCACATGTATAAAAGAAACTGCAAAACTGTCATTTCTGGAGCATTTGAGATCTTGCTTCCTAGCAATGTCATCAGTCTGGCTCAAATAAATTCATAAGTGTTCTCTTCAGGTTTGGACATCTTTACATCAGCACTGTTATGCATGTCTTTTGGTGAATATAACTCATTTCCAACGGAATATACCCAGGAATAGAATTGCCATATGTTAGTCTTTTTATACGTTTACCTTTAGTAGTTAATGCCAAGCATTAAAAAAAAATTGTTTTAATTTTACTCCTATTAACAATTATGGAAGTTTCATTGCTCTGCTGTTATTGTCAGTCTTTTTAATTTATGTAATTGATGGGTACATAGTAGTATCTTATTGCAGATTTGATTGAATTTCTTTAGTGACTAATGATGTTGAACCCTTTTCATATGTATGTTGGCCATTTTTATATGCTCTTTGGTGAGATGTTCAAGTCTGCCTGTTTTTTAATTAATTAAATTAAAAGTGATCATTAATTATAATTACAAATAATTGACTTTGATAAAGTTAGTATAATAATTGATTTACTTACTGATTTATAGAAAGTTTTTATGTTTTTGATATGAGTTCTTTGTTAGTTATGGGTATTGCAAATACCTTCTCCTACTCTGCAGATTGCATTTCCACTGTCTTCATAGTTCCTTTTCATCAACAAAAGCTCTTGACTTTAATAAAATCTGATTTATCAGTCTTCTTTATGATTAGTGCTTTTGTGCCATGAAGAAATTTTTGTCCATCTAAAGGTCATGAAGATATTTACCTGTGGTTTCTCCTAGAAGCTTGATAATAATGTTTAGCTTTGACATGTAGGTCTATGATCCATCTCAAATTAATTTTTCTGTATTGTGTGAGACAGAGGTCAACATTGATTTTTTTTCCAAATGGATATCCTACTAACCTAGCACCATTTATTGAAGACTTTATTTTTTTTTCCTTATTGAATTGCAACTCAGCTTTTATTGTTTTCCGGGTGTTTACATTTGTGTTGCTCTATTTCTGAACTCAATTACATTCCACTCATCTTTTTATCTATACTGTGCTAATACCACACTATCTTACTTTCTGTAACTCTATACTAAGTCTTGAAATTTGATAGTGTAAGGTCTCATTGCTATGTCTTCTTCAATATGACCTTAGCTATTATAGGTTCTTGGTATTTTTATATACATTTATCATCAGTTCATTAATTTTCATGAATGATAATTTACTGGAATTTTTTTCTGAAATTGCATTGAAACGATATCAATTTGAGAGAATTGAAATTTCAACAATATTAAGTTCCAATCCATGAACATGGTAGACCTTGCCTTTTATTTAATAAAGATTTACTTTCATTTCTCTCAGTAATTTCGTAGTTTTCACTAAAAAGTAATCTTGCACATTCTCCTTAATATTCATTCCTAGTATTTGATGTTTCATGATACTTCAGCAAATGATATTTTTATTTAATTTTCTACTTATTTGTGTCTAATATAAAAAGCACAATTAGTTTTTGTATATTTATTATATATCCAGGAACTTTGCCAAATTCACTTATAATTTCAATAGTCTTATAGATTCTCTTGAATTTTCACTGTATATAATTATATCATAACAGTTTTATCTTTTTCAATCTCGGTACTATTATTTATTTGTTTGTTTGTTTTGACTTACTGCCCTGGCTAAAACCTAATTAGTATGGCTTTTTAAAATATCAATACCTAGATCTACACCAGACCAATGAAATCAGAACCTTGGAGTATAAGGTCAAAGTATCAGTATTTTTTTTAAGTTCCCCAAGTGGGTGATTTTAAGGTGTGGCCAGGGTCAAGAGCCACAGCTGTCTTTACTAGGAGTATCACTACTGGTCTTAGGTATGAGAAAATAACAATTCTCACAGGACCTATTACCTATTTCTAAACTGAAATGGCAAGTGCTATAAGCTTTTATCTTTTGCTACAACCTGGGAAAGGCCTTTAGAACACTTGTTTCCCAAAAGCATTCTGTTTAAGAAGAAAATGCCAACTGCCTCCCAATTATAAAAATAATTCACTACCTCAGAATAGCAGTTAGATACTATCAGGAAAGTCATGAGAGATGCTCAGAGGTTTGATAGTATCCATAATTTGTGCCAGACATTCATTACTTCATAAAAGAAACTAAATGAGATTTTGTGAAGCCTATAAATTAGGCTAACTGTTATTTAGTAATAATAATACTATCATGTAATAACATTCATCAAGTACTTACTATACCAGACACCATGCTAAGCATGTATTATATTATTTAAACATGACAACAATCCTAAGAAATGAATATTTTTAAACCTATTTTAAGTTCCTAAGTATTTACTGCTTACTATTTAATATGCATGCAGAACAACTCTGAGAAGGAACATATATCAGTAGCTGCATTTTAAAAATGAAGAAACTGAGGCTTAAAAAACTAGGTAACTGACTGAGGTCTCATATTCAGTTTACAATAGAGCCAGAACTGGAGCCCAAGACTAAATGACCCAAAGGTCCTTGCTCTTAACCACAATAGTATATTTTCTTTGAATTTTTATACTCACCCTAGGAGCAATGGAGTCACAAGGTGCTAGCTCTTTGTCATTTAGGATTTTGGCCATTGTGGGAGTTCAAAGTTTTAGCACAAGTGGAAATTTTGAAATATGAAGGGAATTTGGAATTTGGGCAGAAATGACTAAGAATTACAGAGTATGCCAACACAGAGAAGCAGTGTAGTTAAGAGTGAGGATCCTGGAATCAGATTGCCTGGGTTTGAATCCCAGCTCTGTTTTTTACTGGCTGTGTGGCCTTGGGCAGCTTACTTAACTTTTCCATATCTCAGTTTTTTAGTATGAGGATTAAATGAATTATCTGTAACTTGCTACACCTCAGAACAATACCTAGCATATTGTAAAAATGATATAATTGTTAAATAAATTTGAGTTTAGATTAAAGTCATATATACATGCTAAAAACAAAGGTTTTTTGGGGGGAGGACTCACATTCTAATGTCCCAAGAAATAATTTCAAGAAATCCTTTGACTCCTGGCAAAACAATTCACTTATTTTAACTACACATGAATCTTTTGGCTAGTTTTAAAGTAAAAATATCGCTTTCCAAATATTTAAACTAGAGCCAAATGCCTCTTGGTACAGCCTACAAAATGATAAGGATGTTTTAACCAAGCCAAAAATCTCAGACAAACCAGTAAGAACAGGCTACAAAACGGGTAGGAAAGAGTGTTTTGTGTTCTTTGGTAAGATGCTTATCCTCAGTGTGACTCAATAATTCTAATGTTACCTAACTGAGGTATACATATTATTATTACCCGTACTTTACAGATAAAGAAATGAGGCTTTAACAAGTTGGCCAAACCCACTGAGCAAGGAGATAACAGAGCCTGGATATGTGGCCAGCTTAGTCTGTGTGTTCAAGTCCAGCACAGCATGGATCTCACCACCCACTAGACAGATGAGGAAACTGAGCCCAAGAGAAGGGGTGTGAATTACCCATAGTCACCCAGCTGGTTGGGTACAGTGAGAATTAATTAGAAAAGTGGTTTAACCAAAATATTTAAAGCCCAGTTCTCCATAAGCTGAAGCAACTGGCTCTTTATAAACCAAACACCACTGACAGCCTCCATCCAATGTGAGACTTTCAAGTAAACATTGCCCTTTGTTTATGCTTTACAGGTGAGGTTCACGTGGAAGGACAGGAACATTTTTACTTAGAAACACAAAGTTTCCTGGCTATCCCAAAACAAGAAGACAAAGAAATGGTGTTACACATTGCGACACAGAATCCATCTGCCGTGCAGGTAACAGGGTATTTTTGGAAAATGATACTCCAGATGACTGTGTGGCATGAGGCCCTTACTACCAGGTATTCCTCTCCAGGGGCCTTTTGATTGCTCCTACTCCCCCATCTCAAACTCCCTGCACACTTGACACTAGCTAAAGTCTAGAATGGAGAAAGTGGGCAAATATTTCCCTAAATGGGCAGAATTTTCAAAGAGATCTGAAATTTTTGCCCCCTTCCAAAATATAGGGCAAAGTTTATCTTTGCTTTATAACAGTTGATAGTGTAAAACTTAATCTTAGTAGGACACTTACATTTCCCATTGCTTTTCTATATGAATTGGTAGTACATGTGTATTTAAATTTTCCTTGTGGTTGATTTGTGTAGCTTCTCAATATGAATGTTTTTGTGTATTTGTGGTGCACATGTAAATTGATTGCATCTCCAAGATATTTCAGCCCATACCTTAGAGTGTGAATTCCACTCCTATTCTAGTGGTTGAAATATAGAAATTATTTCCACCCCCAGGCAAGTAAAGAAAACCTCTGACATTCCCTTTTCCTGAAATGTGGACGGGTAGGTACCAGAACAGTTCCAGGCACTGGGAAATACTTAAATAATGATACTAGGAGGAGGAGGAGTTACAAGCATCACTGAATGGAAAAGCTGGGGGCTTCCTGGGAGAGCACAGTGAGCTGGTACCTTGAGGTCTTAAAGGGGTGGGTAGGCCCAATGGGAAGAAGAAGCTACCAACTGCATTCAAGGCAAAATGAAAGGGCAGGGGAGTGATGCTGAGCTGGGATGTGCTGCAGCTTCCATAGTTGCAAGTTTTGAACTTGGCAGAGGACTGTGTAAACATGTGCTTTCCCCTAAGCAGCTACGTGACCTCCTACAAGTCATTGGGCATCAATATTTTTTTCTGTAAATTGAGGAAGGTGACAAAGATCACCTCTGAGGTCTCTTTTCATAGACAGTATGTGTCTCTGGGCTCTGAATGGATAACATGTATGTCCTAAGGTCACCATTAATATCTACCATCAGCAGCTCTTAGGGTACAGTCAGTCATCTCCATAACAGTAGGCATTTCCCCGGGGCAACTAGGGCACTGGTACATACAGCTCACAGCCAAGAACCTGGGGCAGTATCAAAAGCAGGCTCAACAAAGGATTTGAATAGACATTTCTCCAAAGAATGTCTATGAATGACTAAAAAGCACATGAAAATATGTTCAGCATCATTAGTAGGAAATTCAAATCAAAACCACAGCAATACCACTTCACACCCCCCAGGACAGCTATAATCAAAAAGACAGATAATAATAAGTGCTGACAAAGATGTTGGAAATTGAACCTTCATACATGCCCATGAAAAGTGGCACTTTGGGAAATAGCTTGGCAGTTTCTCAGGATGTTAAAAATAGAGTGGCCATATAACCCAGCAGTTTCGTGACTACATATCTACTCAAGAGAAATGAAAACATATGTCCACACAAAAACTTATACATGAATATTCATAGCAGCATTGTTCACAGTAGCCAAAAGTGGAAACAATGCAAATGCTCATCAACTAATAAGTAGATAAAAAATGTGATGGTATCTCTATAAAATGGAATATTATTCAAACATAAAAAAGAATGGAGTAGCCCTGACTGAGTGACTCAGTTGGTTGGAGCATTGTCCCATACACCAAAAATGTTGGGGATTCCATTCCCAGTCAGGAAACATACCTAGGTTAGGGGTTCAATCCCCAGCTGGGGTATGTATGAGAGGCAATTGATCGATGTTTCTCTCTCTCTCCCTCCCCCTTCCTCTTTCTCTAAAATCAGTAAAAACATATACTCTAGTGAGGATTTTTTAAAAAAGGAAAGAATGGAGTACTGCTACATACTACAACATGGATGAACCTTGAAAACGTAATGCTAAGTAAAAGAAGCCGGTCACAAAATACTGCATATTGTATTATTGCACATATATGAAATATTCAGAATAGGCAAATCTATAGAGACAGAAAGCAGATTAGCAGTTTCCTAGTGTTGGGGTGTTAGGGGAAGTTGAGATTAGGGGAGTTTAGAAGTGACTGCTTAATAGATACAAGGTTTTTTTGGGATATTAAAATATTCTGAATTCAATTGTGATGATGGTTGCACACTTCTGTAAGTGCTGTATTTGTTGAATTACTGAATTTCTTTTACTAGGCAGAGGGGAAGTACATGGATGAGGTAATAAACTATTAAATTTCACTTAATGTGGCTTCGGGGACATATCTCTTGTAGGAATTTGTGGCTGCAGCATTAAACGTCCCAAGGAATAGAATCACCTGCCATATGAAAAGAGCTGGAGGAGCATTTGGGGGGAAAACGACCAAGTCCGCTGTGCTAGGAGCTGTCAGTGCTGTGGCTGCCAACAAGTAAGAGTCACAGTGACAGCTATTAATGTCAGAAGTCCTAGCAGGACAGATGTCACCCATGTCCTTCCAACCCTGCAACCCAGTGTTCATTCCATTGGTCACAGAATTTTATTTCCAAAGGGTGTGGTTAACATGTGGGTGAAGGAACACTGGACCTGGAGCCAGAGAACCTGTGTTCAAGCCCTGCTCTGCCAGCTCACCGACAATGTCACCTTAGACAAGTTGCCTCAGGGTCCTCACCGGTAAAGTGGAGAGAACAAGGTCTACCTGTTTCACAGTGGTTGTGTGGAATAAATGTAATCGCTATAAATTTTGACTGATTGCACAGACATAACTATGTTTTACTTCTTGATGAACTGCATTGACTTTCACTCTTTAAAATGTTTATTTTAAATTGTTAAAATAAATCAAGCTGAGATGGCTGACTGGAAGGAAGGTTAAAGGCCCAACTTTACAAGGGATACATTTTTGCATGAAATACAGCAGGGCCTGCTGCTGCCTGGGAATGTTCACTTAGCCAGACACAGGAATAGCCATGACTTTTGTGAACCTTTTACATACCGAAGTTCATTAAGTATGTTCAGGACAAACTGAACTTATCAGACTATAGCTGCGAAAAGAAAACCTGTAACATTTTAGTTCATTGGCACTTTCCAACAATAGCAAAGACTGTCCAAAGTAAACATCATAATACTGTAACCTGCTAATACATATAATCACAAAATACTCATACAATGCCTTCATGTAATATAAAAAAGAAATAAAAGGAAAGTAACTTATAACTAAATAATGTATCATTTCAACATCAAAATTCTCAGACATAACTAAATCAGAATGATAGCAGTAATAGGGATTTTTTTGTTTTGGGGGTTTTTTTACATTTTAATGTCCCCTCAAACTTCCAAAATGTTGTTTAAGATATGTTACTACCCACATTAAAAGCCGCTAAGTTAGATTATTTCCAGTCCCCTTTCACCATCTCCATGTTTCTACAACTTTATGAAGCATCTAGCATATTAACAGAGTCACTTCCTATAGGACTGGTCGCCCAATCCGGTTTATTCTGGAACGTGGTGATGACATGCTGATAACTGCTGGCCGCCACCCACTCCTGGGAAAATACAAAGTGAGTGAGAGCAAAAATTTTAGGAAACTGCCTAAAACATTGTCCAGTGACAACCAATCAATAGTAAAGACAATTACTAAATTCCATACCAATTGAAAGGGGTATTTGGGTACTATCCAAACCAATCAGAACTTTCTGTTGGGATCGTATGGTCAACTTGGGCACCATCATCAGTAATCTTCTGATGACTGTCATATCAAATCTTGTTCATAAGCTGGGTAGAGATTGCCAATTGTGATCAGATGTGTTTGTGTGCAGCATGGCCTGGTTGTAAAGAACTACTGAGAAAATGGTTTTGTTATATCACTTTGCAGATTGGATTCATGAACAATGGTGTGATCAAAGCTGCTGATGTTGAATATTATGTCAATGGCGGATGCACTCTTGATGAGTCTGAAATGGTAAATAAGAAATGTGCCATTCCCGTAGGTTACCAGTTGAGAATGGCTCATACATGTGTCATACTTTATTTGCATAGATATTTGTCTTGCAAATTAGACAAATTCTGTGAAGAGTTTGTGTTAGAGATAAAATTTGGATAAGTGGTTTTGAATATTTGCTAGATGTGAAGTTTTGTTTTGTTTTAATTCAGGTGATAGAGTTCATTGTGCTGAAATCTGAAAATGCATATTTCATTCCTAACTTCCGGTGCCGCGGTAGGGCTTGCAAAACAAATCTACCATCCAACACTGCTTTTCGAGGATTTGGCTTTCCCCAGGGTACACTGGTCGCTGAATCTTACATAACTGCTGTGGCATCTCAATGTGACTTACTCCCTGAAGAGGTAGGTAATCAGTCAGAATCCCCTAACAAAACTCTGACACCATTAGTTCAAATATATCTTGAGCACCTAAATATAGCCTTATGTTAGCTTCTAAGATTCAGTGAAAGTATATTGTTTATGAATCAGTAAACTTTTACTGTATAACAAGTCAACCAAGACATAGTGGATTAAAATAGCAAATAGTATTTCTTCTGATTCTGTGGGTCAACTTCTGGGTAGCACTTATGGTCTGGGTCAGCTTAACTGGAGTGTTATGGTCTAAGACAGATTTACTTCCATATCTGGTACTCATTGACTGACTAGTCTAACCAATATCTCAGTTAGGAAGGCTCATCTCTGCTCCACAGGATCTCTCATCCTCTAGTAGGCTAGCCCAGATTAGTTCTCATGGTGGTTCATAGATTTTCCAGGAGTAGTAAGAACATGGCAAGCCACAATGCACAAGCACTTTTCAAATCTCTGCCTGTATTACATATGTGTTGTCTTGTTGTCCAAAGCTAGTCACATGGCCAGCCCCAGAGTCAGTGTGAAACCACCCAAAGGCATGAATAAGGAGACTGGCATTATTATAGCCATTTGTGCAAACATTGTACCATAGTTCAGATTTTGAAGAGCTAATTTGAGAACAGTTAATAATAAAGAAATATTGTGTAGAAGTAAGAATTTTGAGTCAGGAGAAATTTGTCTCACCACTAACAAAGCTTGTCACAGGAATCATACCTACTATCTCTCAAGATTATTGTAAAGTTGATTGAGATCATACACTTAGCCTGCAGCCTGGAACATATGAAGTGTTCAATAGTAGTTTCTATTGTTGTTATCATTATTGTTATTATCATTATGTTTATATGTTTACATTTGCACTTACATATTTATAGCCATTTAAATAGTTGTTTCTTTTTTTAGAAAGACTTTCTTCGTGTTAGATAAATAACAAAAACACATGCTTCACATATGGAATAGCATGTATCCTTGAAATGTTTTTTTCTTGTCTTTCAGGTTAAAGAAATAAACATGTATAAGAGAATCAGCAAAACAGCCTTTAACCAGATATTTAATCCAGAGCCTTTGCGAAGATGTTGGAAAGAGTGTCTGGAAAAATCTTCATTCTATGCTAGGAAAAGGGATGCTGAGGAATTTAACAAAAATAATTACTGGAAGAAGAAGGGGCTTGCTGTGGTCCCCATGAAATTTACCGTTGGGAACACTGAGGCCTACCAAAATCATGTGAGTTTGGGAGAGATGTCTTCCCAACAAAAGCCCTTTTCCATATGACTAGCTGTATGAAAAAGGCTATTTTGAGCCACTACTGGACATGGAAGTGCAGCTATCTTTCTCTAGGGAGAAAGAAGAAACTGAGACAGTTTCCTATAACAGGAAACAAAATGGGCTTAGGCAAGCATTGGAGACCATCGGTATTAGGGAAGACCTGGTGTGACACGGTACCAGGGACTTCAGAAAGCAATCAACTGATAAAGTCCAGCTCACGAGGGTCTGGCCTTGGGCAGGGCCCCAAAGACGAGTATTGAAGGATGGGGTCAAATTTCAAATCCATGAAAGAACTGGAGGGAGCAAAGGACCCCTTTCTCTCTTTCCTAATTTCTTAGTGACAGCAGTAGAGTCATTTGAAGACAGAGCTTTCAAAAAACACATGAGAACAGACAGAGCGTCTCCATTCACACAGAAACCCAAGGGCATCATACCGAGGCTCCATGACTACTGTGCCTTCTTTTCACTTTCACCTTAAACAGTTTTTTGTGAAGTTCTGTTTCTGATTCTGTCATTTATTTACGTACTTATTTACTTTTCTATTTGCTTCTATCCCCACCAGTTTCTGAAATATCCTCCTAACCAAACCCACAGAAAGAACAGAGTACAGGTCCCTACATGGTGTGAATGAAGAATGACTGAGCTATCTCTTATGAAAGTTTCTCTCTGTTCACTCCCTTCCTCAGAGTCCACTAACAAGGTAGAAAAGCAAAATGAGAAGAAGGGAGGGGAAGGTCAGCAGCACTGCACTCTTGGAGCAGATGACCAGTCTTTCCCCCCAGGGAATGTTTCTGAAGCCATAATAACATACAGACCCCCTTTGAAGGGAAAAAATTGGGGGGACTCTCAACAGTCATTTAAATTATTTATTTTAATGTCATTTAACTGTGTATGACCACAAACAAAGAACAAGTTTCTTATAGCTCTTATGCCTTTATAAAACACAAATGAATTTGGAAATTAAATAAAAGTAGTATTATAAATGCCAGTAATATTCAAAATAGTAGCATTAACTTAATATGGTGGATGATGTTGCTTTTCCAAAACTGAATCCTCACTCACAAAAGGATAGTGGTTCTGGCTGCTGCCACATTTCAAGTCATTTTGAAGTCTTAATCCTAAATGTCTGTGTAGGGTGTGATGACTCACTGTCTCACCTCTTGTCTCTAATATGCCCCTCAATTAAAGTAGGCCTACTTGGTGTTTATACAATAATCAACATGAAATCTAACACAGGCTCTGAAAGCACATGGCAATACCCTTTGAACATGGTCATTATTACTCGTTAGAGGGTCATGAGGTGAAAATACAAAGTTTAGAAGTTCCTATGGAGACCTTGATGGTCCTGAGACTGGCGTAGCTAAATTAGTTGAGAGATATATATTATCCTCACCTGAGGATATATATTTTTTAATTGATTTGAGAGAGAGAGAGAGAGAAATACTGATGTGAGAGAGAAACATCGATCAATTGCCTCCTGTACGCCCCCCCCCGCCCCCAACCGGGATCAAACCCAAAGCTTAGGTATGTGCCCTAGCCGGGAATCAAATCCTCAACCTTTTTTGGTGAACGGGACCATGCTCCAACCAACTGAGCCACCTGGCCAGGGCTAAATTAGTTGATATTTTGAATTCGTAATGGTAGGGGCACAGGCATCAACATGGGGATAGAGGTCCTAAAGGGGAAGATGCAGGGTTCTGGGCCATGTCCATGAGCATATGATGCAGATTGCTTAAGAAAAATTCCAACGACTTGCAGAACTTCCAACATAGCCCAGCCTCCTCCTTCCTTGACTTCTCAGCCTGGTTCCTGGAGCCACTGCCCAGCCCCAGAGACTGACAATAGCATTTAGTTTGAAGGAGGCAGCACAGCATGGGTGTGGAGGACACTGGGCTCAAGTTAGGAGTTGTGGGTTCCATTCCTGACTTTACCTCAAACTAGACACAGGGTTTGGCCAAGCCTCTTCTTCTTCAGACCTATTCCCCCACATGCAAAGTGAAAAATCTGGACTAAACTTATAGATCCCAAACCTGTCCAATCATCAAAATCATGTGGGAGCTTTAAAAAAAGGGAGAGGGAGGCATATTTGGGTTCCACCTCCAACCTTCAACTCAGTTGAAATTTCCAGAATGGGACCATACCCATTGATTCCCAAGGTTGGCAGCATTTGGAAACTATTAAAACATCTCAAGGTTCTTCCAGTTCCCCTAGTATCCAGTGGAAGCTTTGCCTGGACATTTACTTATACAATTTCCATTTGCTTTAAAATTTAATTTTTATGTTCAAGGGGAAAGAATAATAAAATATTGTACAGGTGGTGCTTTGGAGAGGTAGCTTCCAAGGCAACCACACAAGGCCTCCAGGAGGCAGCAGATGGTGGGAGTGGAGATGAGCGTCATTCATTGATCTACATTGGTAGCTTTCAAGCCTGGGGTTTGTTGAAAGGGGTTGTCTGTAACCACCAATAATAGCTTTCTTCTCCAGTATAAACAATGAGAGTTTGACTCAATGAAGCAAACCATTCACCTGGCAACCTCACCTAAACTCACGGCAACATTTGGCCACATGGTTTTCCAAACTGGTATTATAATTATTCCCCGACAGGCTGGCGCTCTAGTCCACATCTATACCGATGGCTCTGTGTTGGTGCTGCATGGTGGCTGTGAACTTGGACAAGGCATCTACACCAAAATGGCCCAGGTAAGATAAGTATCTTATCTTACTGTAAGACTGTAACACTCTATAGTCATTTTAACAACTTCTTTCTTGTTGAGCAAGAGAAATCACACTAAGTGTACAAGCCCATTATAAGACTCATTTTGATATCAGAAACAAACATGCAGAGGGCTGATGAAAGTGGGTGTTGGAATTGAGAAAGCATGTTATGTTACTCTTCCTGCATACTAAAGAACCAAGTCCACAGAGCCTTCTTTGAACGGATCTTGCTTTTTTAAAACAAAACCCTATGTCTGCAAAAGTTTTCAAAGAGAAAGTATTTTTCAGCTTTATGGCAACTGCTCAAAGCTATACTGTGTTAATGCAAATATTTATTAGAAGTGAATGTGTTTAATAGGATGAGATATTATGTTCTTAGAATTCACAATCTATTTAGGAACACCACATGACAGGCCATTATGTGTGCTAAGTCAAAGATGTCTTTCTAATACTGTTGTTGAAAGAGCAAGAGATTATTTGCAACAGGAATTGTCCCTTTTTTAATATTAAATAAGAATTTGTTGAATATGAAATTTGAATAGGCAATGTGAGTAGATGGGGGCAAAGCTTTTCTCTCAATGAGAAATAGAAGATATTTTCTTTAAGGAAATAATATTACTCAATAGTGTGTTTGGAATTAGAAAGTCACAAAAGTCCACAGAGCCTTCTTTGAACAGATCTTGCTTTTTTAAAACAAAACCCTTATGTCTGCAAAATGTCCCATGGGGGCAAAAACAATCTGCTAAATGTCTATAAGCCACAAGGAGAGGATGAAAGTAAAACCATAAGACTGCATGAGTCCTACTAAGCTAATGCCCCAGAGGGACCATACTGCCACGTGGCTTCTATGAAACTGTTATAAAAGAAAGCAGACAGTTGGCCACATGTCTCTGAAAAGCAACGTATCATTTACAGTGCCATTTAAAATCTTCAAACTCATAATCTACATGTAAGGTCCAAGATGCTATTGTGAAGTTTGTCCCTAAAGGGTAGCTAGGTTTTATACTCAGTTCAAAAAAGAATTCAAAAGTTTTTAATTTGGGGGAGGGAGGCTTAGGGTCAATGAAATCAATAGTGTTTTTCTTCTACTTCTGGCAGGTGGCTAGTCGAGAACTGAACATCCCCATCTCATATATACACCTGCTTGAAACAAGCACAGTCACAGTGCCCAATACATTTTTCACAGCAACGTCCATAGGAGCAGACGTCAACGGGAAAGCAGTACAGGTAACTTTCTTTCGTTTCTCAGTCACCCAATGACAGTGCTGGAAATAACCTTGTCCCACCCCTTCTTTTATGGGAACTGAAACTGAGGCCAAGAAAGGTCAAGTGGCTGGTTTTAGGTCGCTCTGCTAAGTGGTTGAGAGACCTCAAGTGGTTGAAGCTTCCTCTATGCACTTCTTCTCTCCCCTTGAGAAAAATCTACCTATAATCTTTCTAATTACCCTAAGGTAATTAAAAACCTATTGATCACTTTTATTTGCATAAACCATCTCATTCAATAATTAAAATGTCCAGTCCAAAATGTACTTCAAATTACAGTGTCTCTACTACTTAACAGCTTGAGCCTGCAGGTAGAAAGGGGGTGGGGGTGGCTTCTCTCCATTTCCCTCCTGCTCTCATTCCATAAGCTTCCGAGCCTACATTTCAGACCCTTATAAAGTCCAAGAAAGAGAGAGTACAGGAGAAAGAGGCAGACCGTTCTTGGCTGGCACTGGTGTGACTTGGCCTTGTTATATCTGACTCCTTCCCTTGTGGATGCCATTGTGAGCTCCTTAGAGAATCCCTTCTGAATGACTTTACCACGGGCGTTGCCTCTCCTATGGCTTTAACCACTTGTCCTGCCCAAGCCCCAGGCCATCTCCAGCCTCTTTCTGCTGAGATACTTCATCCCTTGTAGGAAGCCCTTATAGATGGGCTCCTTTTAAAAACTGGAGATTAGAGGGTGCCTGGAGTCAGGAAGAGGGGGAAAAAGGGTGTTGTTACGTAATGGTTATAGAGTTTCTGTTTGGAGTGATGAAAAAGTATTAGAAATAGTAGTGATAGTTGCACACACCAAAAAAATACATATAAGATTGTCTTAAAGTCAATGGGTAAAGTTCAACTTANCCAAAAAAATACATACAAGATTGTCTTAAAGTTAATGGGTAAAGTTCAACTTATGAAGCAAAAACTTCTTTTAGGACTATGTAAATATTGTGAGGCCACCTTTGAGACAAAATAGAATTCTTTATCTGAAGCCTAAAATGTAGGAAATCTCAGAATGGAGCCTTTCCACACACTGGCTTCGTCGTCTGGTTTGGGCAGAGCTGTGTCCAGCAAATTCAGAAAGCGCTCCTTGGAAGGAAAAGAGTGACAACTTGTCACCTGATTGCCCTTCAGACTTTCTGCAGCTCTTTCAATGGGCTCCCATGGTGGGCTGATTATGAAGAGCTTTGGAAGCCCCCTAAGGCTTCCCAAGGCTCTATATTCGCTGTCAGTCAGCTATCCCTTCAGATTTTCAAAGGAGATGGCAAAAGCTGAGGCCTCGTTGGCTGCAAAGACAACAGTGGCTCCAGACTCGACGGGATAGACTGTCCCTTGGCTGAAGAAGAGAAGTTGTTCATTTGGGACTTGCAGAATTTTTTTTAAATCCCAAGACATTTATATGGGAGTAAAATGTGGGAAATGTCTATAAAAGAAAAATGGCTTGTAAAAAAAATCTTTAATGATTCCAAGTTAAATGTATCATTAAATAGATTAGGTAAGTCAATAAGCATTAGTACTTTTACATCTACAGAAATAGAGATGAATTAAGTATTAAATACCACAAAGCCAAGAATGCAGCAAGGAGGGAAAATTGATTCCATTTGGTTTTGTCTTCATAATTTTTTCTTAAACTGGAATGGTTAAATATAGAGAATTCAATAAAATGAAACAAACTTACCCCAGGCAGCACTCACATATCACAGGTTCTACCTGGACACATGCGCCTTTGAAGGCTGTCCGGTCAGTGGGAGCACAGCACCTCCTCCAGAGGTGGCCCTCAACTGCCCAGGGCTGTTGCTTTTCAGCTACAGTCTTGTGTTCAGAAGTAGACTCAGGTCTGTAGGGCCCCCAACTCCAGAGGGTACACGTCAAGCTCTCTGAGTGGCTTTGAAGTGTCCCTCGCTAGGCTTGAGATGGAGAGAGCCCTTCCTGCCACTCCTTCCTGAGAAGACAGAGATCCCAGCAACACAACAATGGTCTCCAGTGCAATTCTCTCCCTAATTCCAACCTTTCAGCCTCTTCAGCTTCAACCCTTTGATACCACTGAGGTGGGTGAGGAACAGCTCGTGGCCACTTTCTCTGAAAAACTGGTTAAGAGGTAGAGTACCTCCATTTGGAATAAGGGGCTATTTGTCACCTATTGTGCCAGTCTCATCCTTTTGAGCCTTTAGCCTAAAATGAGTCAGAAAAAGTCCTGTTAATAAATAACAAATTATTAAATAATAATAAAGAAAGAAAGAAGAAGAAAAAAGAAACATCATGGCAAGTGTCATGAATCAAAATAAAGGAATTTATGGAAAGAGAAAGTGCAAGTGTTAGGGCTATTGTGGGCAGCAGGGAAGCCAGGGTAGGCACTGATTGGTGATCCTTGAGCCTGGCCTGAATGCAGCAAGGAAAAAGGCCATCCACCTAGGTACTTGGGAGCAGAGGGGGCTCGCTTACTGTGCTTGAGGTGCTGCCTGGGGTCAGGGTGGCTGGAGCAGATAAAGCAAAAGGGAGTGAGGTGGGAGAAGAGGTTAGACAGGTAGCTGGGGGTGAAATTGGGTTATAAATGCTCATTGTTGAAGCTGGGTAAAGGATATGAGGGGGAATATTGTACTATTTTCCCTACTCTTGTGTATTTTGAAATTTTCTCTAATGCAAAGGGTGCCAGAAAAATTAGCATCTGGCACTTGGAGCTCCAATAGGGCGAGGCAACTCTACTAAGAAATATAAGTGAAAAAATTCTCCACACAGAAAAAGGAGTTCAGATTTCATGATAAGAGGAAGAACATCTGATATGTGGACAGGCAGGAACTGTGCAACTTGGGTTTGCCTTGGATGTATTACTCTTTTGGAAGGCATCCATTTGTAATGAGGTCAGTGATTGAAAACTCAATAACCAGCAAAGGTAGATTTATGAATGCAGGGATCTCCCTAATGCATGAGAAGCCAGAGACCATTTCCCAAAGAGGGGATGATAGAACAGAAGGAACAGAAACCAAGAAAGGGCTTGAGGTGTATTCTGAGGCTGATATGAGTAAGTTAAAGGCACACATGTAAACAGATTTGTGTTTGAATTAAGAGAGGAAGCCAGGCTGGGGCCCACTAACACTTAGGGGTCTGTAGACCTCATCTCAGGGAATAGGGATTTTACCTAATTTTTATTTTCATTTTGATTAAAAGGAGCACATTTGCATCATCAAAATGATAACTTTGTAAGTTAAGTATTGCCATGAGATCTCTTTGCCTGCAAGAAGTATACTTTGTGTCAAGGAAATAAGAGCAGAACTTCGTATGTAAATAATGTTTTTCTGAAGAGCAGTTGATGACTAGGTATAAAGTGTGAATGAAAATCTAAGAGCAACTTAAATGGCAACGAGAGTGGAGAGAAAATTGATCCTTTAACTGGCACACAATAGGCACTCTGAACTCCGAACAAAGTATGTGTGCCATAGCAGTCGAGATTTTTTCCACATTCCAAGCAGCAATTTAGCTTCAGGAAAACATCATTATCAATCAACTAAATTAGTGTTGTTATTTCAAATTGTATTGGTATATAGATTTGTCTGCACACTTTGTCATTTTGTTTTTTACTTTATAGTTGTGAAAGAGCTACAATTCTAAGGAGGCTCTACCTAGCTTTATGTTAGCATGTATTGAAACAAGATTATAGTCAAAATAAATTTAACACTGCAGGATCCACAAGAATATTTGTTTCTTTCAAAGGGGTTTCATACATTGCTCAAGTTTAAGAAACTCTGCCTAGGGGACTTGGAAGCAAGTTCACAAACTGACAGTCTACATTTGAATTGATTTAAATATTAAACATTCTGCTATTCCCTGAGCCTTTTATCCCTGATATCATTTCAAATATTTCTTTTTAGAATGCTTGCCAAATTCTTATGGCCCGTCTTCAGCCAGTCATCAGGAAAAACCCAAAGGGAAGATGGGAGGACTGGGTGAGTGTTCTCCTCGTTACCCCTGCCAGGAAAAGGCAAATACACCCAGACAGGTAGGCACAAGTCCTAAGTGCGTGGGCTGGTTGGTGGTGCCCATTCAAGAAACAAAGATTGTCATTTACTTCTGCTTTCCCAAAAGAGTGAAAGAGAGGCCTGGGTTCATTACTTAGTTTTATTGAAGAGCCTGATTTCTCACAGCATGATAACAGCACAGGCTCTAAAGTAAAACACACCTGGCAATGCTGCCCCTGCCCTGTCACTACCAGCTCAGTGGGACATGTTCCTCCTCCCCGCATCAGGGCCTTGGTTTTCTCACCAGAGCAATGGAGATGATAGCAGTCCTAATAGCAAAAGATTAGTCTATTTTTAATAATAATTATTGCAATTATCATTAGTATTATTATTTCCAGCTCTACCCAGTTTACTCCAGCAGGGAAGGTGACATAATATACTGAGACAGTCAATCAAATAATTTGGAAAAAAGCAGGGTAAAAATACATGCATACATGCATACATACATACATAACATACATGTGCGTGCATATACATATGTACATATATGTGTGCGTTTTGTATGTACATATTCACCTACTTGTGTACATACCTATGTACATAAGTACATGAATATGGCCTAGCCCCTCCCTAATTTAAAAAGCCAAAAAGGGTTAAAAAAAATAATAAACTTTACACTGTGCAACTCCAGGAAGAGAGGGTCCCAGAGCACAGCTAGCTGCTGCCCTTAAGCACCCCCTTGAGGAGCATGACCTGCAGCTTGTTCAGAGCAAAATCTCGCTCGAGGAAAATGTGCAGAGGTCGGTGCAGACAAGAGGAGGCAAGCCCAGGGTAGAATTTTTCACTACTTTCCCTAAACTTACACTTCTTAATCTCTTTCAGATTGCAAAAGCCTATGAAGAATGCATCAACCTGTCAGCCACGGGATATTTCAAGTAAAGGATGTTTTTACTTTGGTTTAGATTACACTTAGGCAGGGATGGCGGGCACTCATCAATCAGACACCTGCAGAGCACAGGGGCTCTGCCGGGCAGGGTCCGAGTTAACCCTTCAGTCATGGACCTAGGAGAGCGGAAGGAGAGCTAGGGGAGGACCAGGGACCCCTTGGGGCCACAGTGTTACCAACCAGGAGGGACAGATACTCTTACCCATCCCAGTAACTGCATGCTGAAGGGTAGGGCCCAGGCACCAGTGGACCTTCTCCCTGTGTCTGCAACTCTGATCACCGCGGCCCCCCTTGTAGGAGAAGGTGAGAGAGGCCTTCAGCCGCCGGGTGAGAGCTCTGCTCATTTCCAGGACCCAGAGCGCCACGGGTGATCAGACCACTAGGGGGAAGTGCCTTGTCTTTCACTCCCGATTTCTCTTCTCAGAGGCTACCAGACATATATGGACTGGAAGGCAGAGGAAGGTGAGCCTTTTGCATATTATGTTTACGGCGCATCGTGTTCTGAGGTTGAAGTCGACTGTCTGACTGGGGCTCACAAGGTAAGGAGGGACATTGGTGTTCACCATCTTCAAGAGTGAGCATGAACGTGGATGTATTTTCTATGTTGTCAATTAACATGATCCTGCCAGTGGAGGAACCAGGGACAGGTATATAATTGTAGTAAAGACTTCTTTTTAAAATAACATTTTCCATTATATATTTTCTCTTGGCACAGCTCCTTAGGACTGACATCTTCATGGATGCCGCTTTCAGCATAAACCCAGCCCTGGACATTGGGCAGGTATGTGGTACCAGACCACCCCACAGGGACTTTTGGTCAGTTCCATTCAGAATATTATTTCGCAGGGTTCTCCAAATGTTTATACCTTGTGCAAGTACTCTGCAATATGTATCAGATATTACACACATAAAAATAGGTAAAAAATTGAAAGAAAATTCAAGAAAATGTTAGCAACGGTTGTCTTCATGTGGCAGAAATATATGTGATTTATCCTGCTTTATGATTCTCCATGCCTTATAATTTTTCTTCAATGAACATTAATTAATGTTTATAATTAAGGAATATTATATAAAAATACATAATAATAAAGCTCTATTAATATTCATATTACTATTGAATTTTAATAGACTGAACAATTTAGAGAAATATAAGGAAAAAAGAAATGTTTAAAAACACTATTTCTCCTCTTGCTGAATTTCTTTTATCTCACAAGCAGATAAATTAATGCACCCAAAATCTTTTTAAACTTTAAGTTAAAACTTTTCCAGCTGTTGGTATAGCTGTGCTTCTTTTCCCCTCGCCTTATTACTCAAAGTAGGGCCAACAGACCAGACTTCAGAAAGCTTGTAAACCAGTGAGAGATGGAATGGAGAGAGGGAGAGAGAGAGAGGGGAGCAAAGAAAATGCCCCCTGAATGCTACCCTGATGGGGGTTCAAATGCAGTGAGTCTGGAGGAAGCAGTCCCTAAACCCACCCAGGGGGTCAGTGGGAGGATTCAAAAGGCTCCAAAGTGTCAACTATTCTTCAGCTCAAACTTGGAGAATGAACAGGTGTTTGCCAAGTAGACAAGCTGAGGTGGGGAGCAGTCAAGAGAGTCAAGAGAAACCACCTTTACAAGGAATTGGAGGTCTGAACAAATCTCATGGGCTTGGAGAATCACCCAGAACTTGACAAGGGTTGAATCCCTGAAATGTGGGGTACCTTGGCAAGAAGGTCTAAGGATGGGGCCAGGCAGGAGGGCAGGCACGAGATCCTGAAACACCCTTTGTAAAGTTCACCACAGTGCTTTCAAGAATGGCTTACTATGGTTCAGAGCTCCCTTTTCAATCACATTGGGAATATTTTCAACCAACATCATATGTTTATAAACTGTGAGAATTTTGCCTCTAGATTGAAGGAGCATTTATCCAAGGCATGGGATTGTATACCATAGAAGAACTGAAATACTCTCCAGAAGGTGTGCTTTATTCTCGGGGTCCAGATGACTACATAATCCCCACTGTCACTGAAATACCGGAAGAGTTCTATGTCACTTTGGTGCGTTCCCGAAATCCCATAGCCATCTACTCATCCAAGGTAAGAACGCAACACTTCTCTATTAGTTTGCTAGGGCTGCCATAACAAAATACCAGATGGGGTGGCTTAAGCAACAAAGATATATTTGCTCACAGTTCTGGAGGCTAGAAGTGTGCGATCAAGGTTTGATTTCTTTGGAGGTTTCTCTTTGACTTGCAGATGGCCATTCTCACTGTGTCTTCACATGATCATCCTTCTGTGTGTGCACATGTAGATGCCTGTGTGTGTGTGTGTGTGTGTGTGTGTGTGTGTCCTAATTTCCTTTTCTTATAAGCACACCCTAAAGACCTTATTTTAACTAAATTACCTCTCCAAAGACCTTATCTCCAATTATAGCCACATACTGAGGTACTAAGGGTTAAGACTTCGACATATGAATTGGAGGGGAGCACAGTTCAGCCCATAACACCCTACTCCTTCATGAAATAATGAAACAGACCCCTGAATTTTGCTTACTCCTTGGAATTGCAGATCCAAAAGGGAGATGGGGGAAAAAGCAAACTCATGGCAGAGTGACACTCACTGCCTTCAGAAACCCAAGTAGAGTCTTCAGTCTTGAGAGAGATCATGAAACATATTTAAATTAATCAAGTCAAATATCTTGGTTCATGAGGCTAAGTGCCACCATGAGATAAAACTGAAGTTGTAGGCAAATTTCACCAGCCCAGAGCCTTCTTCTCTGCACCCTTCCCAGATGTCCTCCAGACTCAATTCTTTCTTGCTTCCACTGCCTCTGCCCACATCCTCCCCAAGTCAGAATGAGCTTTCAAACAAGTTTCTCATTGAGGACAATTTGCTCTGAGGTGTTAATAGCCACCGATGTAAGAGGTGTTGACCCCACACTCCCTGGCCATGAGGTCTAACTGGCCCATATAGACTTAGAGCAAAGATTCTCAAACATGTGCACAAAAAACACAACTTCTCCAACTTAAGTGCTAATCTGAGCCCACATCTGACCAGACACATGGCAACTTTGACCTCAGATTTTCAGGAAATTACCTCTGTTTCTTAGGATTAGATCAAAGTCAGGAGGAAGGCGAGACTTTCTATATGAATAGCCCCTATCTCCACTTCTGCACCAGACTTTGGCTAGGGATATCTCTAAAGACTGTCCTGACACAACTCTGCCTCTTTGGGGCTAGCCCCCTCCCTGCCGGTTCTGCTCCAAACAGGGCACAAGACCTTTCTGTTCTCACCCCCTCCTCCTCACCTCAGAGGAAACCCTTTCTTTCACCAGCTCCACCTTTTCCTCCACATTTGCTTCAGAGTAAAAACCACAGCCTGGGACAGTCTTTATCTGCTTTGGGCCCTTTGTCCCATCTCTCTCCTAAGGCCCTGGACACAGTCCAAGGACCAGACTACTCTGAAGGCAGAAAGAAGGAAAATGAGTATAAGAAGCATTGGTGAGAGCAGCACAATTTACAATAGCTAAGGTCTGGAAACAGCCCAAGTGCCCATCAGTAGATGAGTGGATAAAAAGCTGTGGGACATTTACACCATGGAATACTACGCAGCTGTGAAGAAGAAGGATCTTGTACACTTTGGGACGGTATGGATAGATCTGGAGAAAATTATGCTAAGCAAAATAAGCCAGGCAGAGAAAGACAAACATCACATGATCTCACTTATATGTGGAATCTAAAGAACATAATAAACTGATGAACAAAATAGATTCAGTGACATGGAAGCATGGATCAGACCTATGAATCTCAGAGGGAAGGAGGGGTGTGTGTGGGTGGGGAGAGATTAACCAAAGAATCTATATGCATATATGCACAACCCAAGGACATGGACAATAGTGTGGTGAAGGCCTGGGGAGGGGGGAGGGGTGGGGTGAAAGGGGTCATGGGGAAAAAAGGGGACATTTTGAACAATAAAAAACAAAAACAAAAAAGAACAAAAAAGAAGAAGAAAAAAGAAGAAGCACTGGTGAATTATTCAAAATATAATGTCCTCACACTGTTAATTCAAAAGCATCCATCACATGCCAGGGAAGTTAACATATATGGAAACTTCAACAGTCCACTCTCCAGAAAGAATCACCTCACTGTCTTTCAAGTTCAGCTACAAAGATTGTGGTTCTTTTGTTGTGGATTTGAGTTAAACACCATGGTACCTGGGATAAAAATTGCTGGTCTAGAGGCCAAGTTGGAGTACCCTAGGGGCACCAAGGGCTTTGGTCTTCTTGATCTGGGCGAGGGAACAGGAGTTTTTAGCTGCCCTGCTATCCTGATGTCCTGGGGCATTTTCATTAACCACTCTAAGGATGACCCACACTCAAATCGGCGTCGGGGGAATGGGTTCTGGCAATTCAGATATATCCACTCTGAGGGTTATAAGGCCAGAAGAGGTGAGTGTGTGCATGAGAGTGCACATGTGTATGTAGTTAGTAGTTCTAGATGAACTATGCATTTCTGACGGCCTTCTGCCCTCCTTCTCAGGGATTGGGTGAGGCTGGAATGTTCTTGGGATGCTCCGTGTTTTTCGCCATCTCTGATGCAGTGGCTGCTGCCCGAAGACAGAGGGGGTTGACCAAGAGGCTCACCCTAAACAGCCCAGCAACTCCAGAAGTGATTAGAATGGCTTGTACGGATCAGTTTACTGACATGGTAAGGGTGGCGAGGAGTTTCAGGTTCTTGGTAGGAATTTGATAACTGTGACAGAATTATAAAGTAAGTTCATCTTTTCCAAAGGAAATTCCCTTTTTTCCTCCACTTGCTACTTCCTATATGCTCCCAAAGCAACTGCAAAGTGGGCGAACCTCTTTGAATGATGTTTTAATTGTTTCCAGCCCCAAAGAAAAGCACACTCAATTGAGTGAGTTCTAATAGCAAATGGACGTGGTAGGTATTTCTTTAAACATTTGATCAAAATGCACTTCATGTGGTGTTTTAATTACCTCAATAAACAAATTAGATTAAATAGATATCTGATCTGGTCAATTATTCGGAAAGTACCTGTTAAACCAACTAATATAAATAATTTAAATGAAAATATCAAGTCACTAGGCACACATTAAAAAAACATAGTTTTAATTTTCAGCTGCTAAAAATATATCTAGAACTTTCAACAGAGACTATTCCTATATTCACCTGCTCATGGCAGACCTGACTGAGTCTGGTATAAAATTAGATTGCACTTTATGCCTTTAAAATTACAGAGCTTCCGAATAAGATGCATTTTATCCCAAACATAAGTTTATGAGAATGAGGAGATTTATGACTCAAGGTTAGAAAGAAATATGAAAATTATAAGATTTTGGTGAGAATAAAATGGACATTGACTTGTTCTTTTTCAAAAAATCAATTTTTCTTTTGAATTACAACTTTTTTTATATAACAACATTTTTTAAAACAAAAAAGACACTTATTATTCTGAAACAAACAGAAGCTCTGGAGCCCAGGGCAGTCTAACAATGCCGTCAGGCCCCAGGCTGCCCCATGTTCCTGCTGCACTCTCCTGAGAGCGTGGCTTTAATGTCATGGTTACAGGACCTTGGCTGCACTCAAGTGTCATGACTGAGCTCCAGGCAGGATAAAGAGACAGAGACAAAAGCCTAGATGGACACACCAGCAGAATTAAGACCTCTTTTTTATTTTCAGTGGCTCTGAATTTCAGCTTTTATTTTGCTGCAATGATTAAACAGATTTTCTTCTTTGACCTATTTCATACGTGTTCTTTTTTGTTTTTTGTTTTTCAGTTACAGTTGGTATTCAATATTATATTAGTTTCAGGTGCACAGTACAGTGGTTAGGCATTTATATATCTTATGAAGTAAACCCCCATAAGTGTAGTACCCAACTGACACCATACATAGTTATTATGATATTATTGACTATATTCCCCATGCTGTACTTTATACATTCCCGTGACTATTTTGTAACTACTAATTTGGACTTCTTAATCCCTTTACCTTTTTCACCCAGCCCACCAAGCCTCCTCCCATCTGACAGTCATCAGTTTGTTCTCTGTATCTATGAGTCTGTTTCTGTTTTGTTTGTTCAATATAGCAGCATTGTATTAATAACTATCTTCATTCTTTTGATCTTTTTCAGATTCCCAGAGATGATCCTTCCACATTTACACCTTGGTCCATCCATGTGTCTTAATCTTATCTTTTCCTAAGAAAATGAAAGAGTTTATGATTGACCTTAAAATTTTCAAATCAGAGCAATATATAAGGTGTCTCCCAAACATCAAGGATAATTTGAGCTTTTTTTTTTTTTCTTTAATCCTTACCTAAGGGTATGCTTTTATTGATTTTGAGAGAGAGAGAGAAACATTGATGTGAGAATAAAATTCTATCGGTTCTCTCCTGTACACACCGACCAGGAATGGAACCCCCAACCTATGTATGGGCCCTGACTGGGAATCGAACCTGGGACCTTTGGTGTACTGGATGACTCTCCAAGCAACTGGCTAGGGCAATTTTAACATTTTTAAATTACTATCTGTAGTTTTGGCCACTGTATGGTCATGTTTTAGGATGCAAATTTTCACCAAAATATAAAATAAAGAATCAAGATTCTTTTTGTTTGCATTATCCTGAAGATCTACAGCATCATGGGTGTCTTGTCTTAGTCCATTTGGGACTATAACAAAATACCACAGACTAGGTGATTTATTAAAAAAACAAATATTTATTTCTCACAGTTCCAAAGACCAGTAAGTCCAAGATCAAGGTGCCAGCAGATCTGGTGTCTGGTGAGCACCTGCTTCCTGGTTCACAGACTGCTATCTTCTCACTGAGTCCTGATTTGGAGAAAGGGGCTAGGGAGCTCTCTGGAGTCTCTCTTATAAGGGCGCTAATCCCATATATGAGAGCTTTGTCCTCATTTCATTATCTGGTCACCTCCCAAAGGCCCACCACATGATATCATGTAGGTTGGGAGTTAACATATGAATTTGGAGAGGACACAAACATTCAGACTATAGCATTCTACACCTAGCTCCCCAAAATTCATGTCCTCATATGTAGGCAAATTGCTCGCCAACTGTGAACTTGTTAAATCAAACGTGTTATGTGCTTCCAAAGTACATGGTGGGACAGGCATGAGATATGCATTCCCATTCCAAAAGGAGACATAGGAAGAAGAAAGGAATGGCAGGTCCCAAGCAAGTTCAAATTCTTGACTCTTGATAATACTCCCCTTTGGCCAGATGTTCTACCCTCCAGGCTTGTGCCTCATACTCACTCAGACCAGGGCAGGAAGGGCTTAGGCAGATGATTGGGCACTTCTGACCTAGTCACACCAATGTCAAACTTTCTCCATGCCCCATTCACACCCCAGGCAACCAAGCTCTCCTCCAGATTCACAGTTCTCAGGCACTGGAGAGGATGCCTCTCTCACACAGCCCAAGGCCTCACTGGTGCTCAGATTCCCATAATCCCAACCTCTGGCTCCACAGAGGCTGAATGATTGGAGTTTGGAGAGAAGAGGCCTCTTGTCAATATGGTTGAGAATAGAGGGTCTAGAACATGGGCATTGAATGACCAATTCAAGGTTCTTAAAAAGTGCCCCACTCTTGGTCTGCTCACCTGTGCTCCATTTTTGGCTTTTGAAGAGCTCACAAGAGACAGCAGCACACCAGGGACATGGAAGTGTAGCCAGTACTTTTCCATTTACATCAGCAAACAGGATTTGTTACAATTTCTTCCAGAAATAGGTTTGTTTGGGTTGTGGGAGAGGGCAGTGTCATTTCCAATATTCTGACATTGGATAAAAGGGCTCTTTGATGTAACTAACTCATAAGACCTTTCTTATAACAAATACACAAACCCCTGAGTCAGTAGATGGGAGTGTCTCTCATCCACCAGAACAATCCATTTAAAAGTAAAGAAATTCAGTCTTCCCTTTTCATTAAAGAAAAAAAAACCAGTGGTGGTTTTTTTCCATTTTCTGGGATAAGATCTAAGAGAAACACTTGGCGGAGACAGCATCCTACCTTCATACTGTGGTCAGCCCTTTACTCAATCTGCTCTGAGTGATTTTTAGACCTAGTTCCCAGAGTCCTGGAGTTTCTGAAGGAGAGAAAACCCCAGGACTTCAGGCCTCAGCCCCAGCCCACTCAACTAAGTAGTAACCTTTCTGTTTAACTTGTTCACACTTCATAAGATTTCATTCAAACAAAAGTTTTCCTGGTTGGAACAAGTTTGAAAACACTCTTGATAGTCATTCAAGATCAGTGTCCCAGAAATTAACATATTTGGTTCCCTTAATCCAAAGCACTTTTGTATCTTATAACTCTAATACCATAATCTGATTTTAGAACTCTAAGACTGTTCTTCTACATTACACGGTTGCATTTCATGTTGACACTGGAGGATTTCTTCCTATAAATATTGTGAAACACCATGATCTGTGTTTCTCATTTCTACTCCTGTAAATGGGAAGCATGTGCTCTTTGTGTTCACTGGTTTCCCTCTATTAAGGGGCAAAGTGAAATGGTAAAGAGATTGTGGACCCTTAAAAACAACCCCTATATCATTTCTTCCCTAAATGCAAGCAGCCATAAGAAAGGCCGTGGTCTCCATTCTCTTATTCCCCAGCCTGCCCTGCCTCCATTCCCAATTCTCCCAGAATCAACTCCTACTCATCCTTTAGGACCAACTGTCCCTTCCTCAGGCCTCCCCTGATCCCTTTTGCCAAAATAAAGCTCATCTCCCTGTTCTATGTTTCTCACAATGGTAAATATTGAATATCATGTTAGTTTTCCCTTTTATTAACCATTAACTCCTTGGAGGAAAGAAACTTGTAGATCTTGTTTTTCACTGTGCCTCTACCACTTAGCATACTGCCTGGTGCAAGGTGGATGCTCAATATCTACCGCGTGAGTGAGTGAATGAATGGATGGATGGATGAGGCCTTCTTCATTTAAAGTATTTTAGATAGTCAAGCATTTACTAACCCCTGCAAAGAACAAGCTGTCATTCTTGCTGACCATTGTGGGGGATACAACTAGCTATTCTAACCTTCAGGAGCATATTACCTAATTGGGAAAATAAGACACAAACATTGAAAAGATAACCAACTACTAGTGGCAAATAAGAGATTAGTTTTCCAGGCTCCTGCTTTATTAAATGAAAAGTAAAGAAGTGATTGTTTGGATCTGCAGTTGTTTTTCAAAGGACGGAAGGTAGGTTTGATGCTGCTTTTTGATGGTAAAGAGGGAGGGAGGGCAATCACAGCGGGACAGGAACAGGGTTGTTATCTGCAGACATGGAAGAGCCTCTTCAGTCACTCGACAAATGCTTATTTGGCATTCACTCTGTGGCAGGCTCCATTCTAAGCCCAGGGATGCAGTCATGCCCCTGCCTTCATGGAGCTTATGTTCTAGTGGAGAAGGCAAATAAGGTGAACAAGAACCCGCATCAGGGAGTAATGAGAACTGTGGAGGAAATGAAATGGGGTGGTAGAAGAGAGCGCGACGAAGGTGGGTAACCAAAGAAGAGCTCACACCCAAATAAGAAGGCACCAGCCATGCCAGAGTCTGAGAAAAGGGAAGGCAAGGCAGAATACATAACATGCACCAAGACCTAGGGAGTGAAAGAATTTAGCACATTCAAGAAGCAGGGAAAGGGCCAATGTGGCAGATAATGAACAATGTGGCAGAAAGTGGTTGAAAATGTGCTCAGAGGAGGGGGTGGGGCCAATCCCCAGGGGCCTCCATGGAAAGCTTTTGGAGTTTTGTTAAGTGTGATGGGAGGACAGGAGAAGGTTTCAAGTAGGAGAATGGTTTAGGCAGAAGAATGATGACAAGAGTAGTTTGGCTGGAGCAGAGGATTCTTCCTGAAGAGCCAAAGAGTCTGAGGCCAGAAACGGGCAGGTTTTGGAGGGCTTTGCACACTGGGCCAAGGAGTTTAGTTGTCATGTTCTAGGCCTCAGAGAGCTACCGGGGCTGCTTTTAGCAGAAGTAGCATGATCAAAAAATCTGACCTGAGGTCCTGCCTTATTCACTTCCCCTCTCATAACCCTGTTGTGGATTTATTTATCCAGCAAATTTATAACACATATGAAACACCCACACACACACTCAAACATGTGCACATTTACCTGTCAAGTTGTTGCCTTGACTAGATCACTATTTCCAATGGACCAATCCTGGGGTGGGGAAGAGGCAGGAGGGTATAGAGGGGCAGGGTGGGTGCAACACACCGCACCTCCGCTTTAGGGCACAGATTGGAATTGGCCACATGATTTCCCATAAGGAGACTTTTCTGCAACTAGAATAAGGTAAGAGTTGCAGAAAGTGGGAGATCCACTTCTATCTCTCTTTGAGAAGAAGAAAATCCAGGATGTATTCCTGGGGCTGAGGCACTGTACAAAGTGGGTTTAAGCTTAAATGGTTGTTTACGGTTTTCACACTGAGGCCCTCCACCTTCAGAGAAAGCAAGAAGAGGTTTTGAAGCCAGGATTGGTGGGAGGCAGAGTGAGGCATGAGGTAAGAGGCGGGACCACACAGGTGCCCTAAACTTAAAAGGCAGCGAAGCCAAGGAGTCTCCACCTCTTGCCCTACTCTCTGGGACTCCAACTGCCAGCTTCCACACAAGGAAGGATTTCAGTGCTTGGGCCTAAATCCTTTGTGCTCAGTTCTCCGAGGCTCACGCCAAAGAGCATTCCCACCTAGAGCTGTAAGGCAAAATCTATTTACAGGTGCAATGCTTTGCCTGCTGAGGTCGGATGAGTTGGTTTTCTTTGTAAACGGGAAGAAGGTAAGTGTTGGGTGTTACCACCATGGCTCAAGACAGCAGGAAGCTACTAGCTTGAGGGGAGCCTTTGTGGCCCATTTGGGTTGAAACCCCTCCAGTCAGGGACAAGAAGCCAGGGACTGGAGCCCATATTAATTTGGCCTGTTCCCCACTCAGCCACAGCTCAGCCTCTGGGATGTGGGGTGACAGTAAAGCACTGGGGTCGATCCAGTGTGAGACAGCCTTGGTTCCATTCCAGCTTTGTCATTTACTGTATAAACTTATGAGAGTTATTTCTCTTCTCTGAGCCTCAGAGTGCCCAGCCTCAGAATCCACCTCCTACTGCGATTGTCCAGATTAAAAGAGAAAGGCTTCTTTCACTGGTTAGGAATCCTCTCAATGCTTGTAAATCATTTAGCA